AGATGGCGCTGCTGATGGCCTGGTCCATCGTGCGGCCCTGCGCCTCGCTCTCCTTCTCGTACACGAAGCTGGGGCTGTAGCCCACGTCGAAGCTGTGTCGCTTCTCCCCTGCCGGAGGAGAGAGTCGGTTACCGGGGGGGTAAAGAAGCAGCTAAACGCCACGATGCCTTTCCCAAATGGCTCTGGGAAGCTGAGAGGCACGAAATGTTCTCTGAGGAAAGAGGCCGTTCAAGCACACAGGCAGCCTTTGGGAGGGTTTTTGATTTGGGTTTTGTTATGTCTTTTTTAAAGTTCAGGTTTGGAAGTTAAAATTTGATAGAGGAGATGGGGAGGATACTGACTGGACAAATCATTACATTTGACAAATTATTCTGGGATTGAAGAGAGAGAATATTATCAAAGCTTCCATAGATGAACTTCTTTCACCTTGTTTCTAAAAAATAGTAAATCATCATGAGTTATAATCCTTGTAAAAGAGTTAATTGATAATGAAACAAACCCCTCCATTTTCAGCACCAAGACTGCAGCCTTTCCTCCTTGACTTGTCCCCAACTCCACCAGAAAAACCATGGCAACTGGTTTTGTCTCTGCCCAGTTCCAGGAGGAGATAAAACTACTCCCAAAAGGCCTAAAGTCGCTTTTTTTTGGTGAATGTCTAGGAGTAAGTAACTGAATTCTGTGGTTACATAAAACAAAATCATTCACAGCTTTAGAAAAAACGGACCAGACCAAACGTTTCATGTACAGGTGAGTTGCAAACATCAGATCCACTGATCTTCTAGTTACGGTAACTCGGATAGTGCAGATGTTTATCAGTCACCTGTCAACACCATGACTCAATGTATATGAAACTCATCAGGTTTCACTGCAGAGGCAGAAAACCAGGAGCTCACGTTTCTCTTCTAAAACATTCAAAAAGGTTAGACAACCACAAGAGTGTAACTGCTCCCAACCCTCAACAAAACTCACTACCCAGCTTCACACAGAAGGAAACAAAGCCATGCAGCACCTTTGTATGACTCATAAACCCAGCTCCAGGCAGTGAAAGAAAATTTGCAATTAAAAAAAAAAAATAAAAAGGGCAACAAAAGCAAAAATAAGACAGGACTCCCTGTAAACGTTGGGGTAGGACTCAGGGTTGTGAGGGAAGAGACAAAACACGCAGCGTGTGCTCACCAAGGCTCTCACTGTTTTCCGTCACTCCGCTGTCCTGGTGGCTTTTAAAGTCCCCACGGCAGCCTGTCTGTCTCTCTGAAGTCACCAGTTCTATCAAACAAAACCCAAGCACCCAGATGCTCTGCTGACACGTTAATGGGCCGCAGTGCTGTGGTTTTAAAAGGCCACGGCACATGGGGTGAGATGAAGAACCCAAGCTCTTCACCCTGGGGGTGGTGAGACACAGGCACCGGCTGCTCAGGGAAGCTGTGGATGCTCCAGCCCTGGAGGTGTTCAAGGCCAGGTTGGATGGGGTTTTGAGCAACCTGGCCCACTGGGAGGTGTCCCTGCTCATGGTGGTGGGGGTGGGGGACTGGTTTATCTTTAAGGTCCCTTCCAACCCCAAACATTCTCTGATTCTACAATTCCTTACGGGAGAGGGCAAGAAATTGGGCTGTAAACCCCACCCTGATGTTTCAGAGATACTTTTGGAGGAAAAGGTGCTACAGAAAAAACAGCTTCTCTCTCTCCCTCCCTCCCCACTGTCTCAGCAGACACCAAGGTGAGCACATGCCCAATTTCAGTACCTTGGAACTGATGCCTGTACTTCAGCAGGCCCAGTTTGCATCCAAGTGCTGCAGCACCACACTGCAACCAAGCAGATGTGGGGGCCACCCTGGTTTGATTATTTTGTCTCCCCTCAAACCCTTCCGTGGCAAGGGACAAAAAGCCAGATGAGGGCTTCACTCTAACAGCAGCAAGCAGTCAGGAGGGTTGATATCAATGATTCAAGGAAAGAAAAAGGAGCATATAGGGACTGGGGAGGGGAAGGATGGGCCGTGCCAAAAGCAGCTGATGTTTTCTCTTGGTAGCCAGCAGGACAAGGTGATGGGTTATTGTGGGTTCAGCTGCCTTCAAGTGAAGCACCACAAAGCTACTGAAAAACACATTAAAAATTAAATGCATGGGTTCTCCAGTGCCCATTGGCAGAGCAGCCCTGGATATCAGGACACCTCTCCTTCTTGTCTCAGTGCAGAATGAATCTGCTGGAGGTGTGGCCCCAGGAGTGTTCATACAGCAGTGAGGAGCCACCAGCACAAGGACCTGTTCTGCTGGGCTATTTGTCTTTGTTATTTTTTAATATCTGTTCAGTAATCAAACCAGGAAGTCAAAAAACCCCCAGGGTTTGTATATTGGGCCCATATACAGAGAGAATAGAAACGCCCAGCAAAACAGAAGCTCAAAATCATCAACCTCCCTTCAAATCCTTGTTTGCTGCTAGCTAAAGGAAAAGCTGAGGGCAGAATCTTTGCAGGAGAAGCCTTTAAAGGGGAGCCTGGAGCAGGGGTTTAGAATCAAGCACACACTCTGCTGAGCTGTGCCCTTGTTTGAGACTTACACTCGTGCACAGGAGGCAGCTACTGAAGATGAAAATGTGAAAAAATAAAGCGGGCAAGACTCCCGGAGTTCATATGAAACTCTGCAGAGCCCCCAAATAATAACAAAGGGTTTTCTTCCTGATCAATAGACTTCATTCACAGAAACGAGCCAAACAAAGATGCCTTGTTAGCACACATCTCTATCCCTCCTTCCTGACAAAATGAAAAATCAGCACCCCTTCGGAGAGGGCCCGTTCCCAAGAAATCCCAGAGCTGCCCGGGCAGATTCACACTCCTACACACACAGCTCAGGGAGTCACAGGAGTCAAACCAAGGTCGCCCAGGCTGCTCTTGCAAACATACTCCCCAGGGATGAAAGGGAACGGGTGAGTAATTTTTTCACTTGTTACCTAACAAGAACATGCCAGTCACACAGGTTTGAGAAACCCCCCTATGTTTCAGAAATCGGTTACTTTGCTCATTCAGGTGGGCTGCCCTGGGCCCTCCCACCTCCTGCACAAAACCCCTGGTGTGATGCAGCATCAGTTCGTGCCCCCTCCAGACCACGTTACTGAGCACAGCCACCAATCCAAAAGGATCTGTCCCCCACAGGAACTGGAGCTCTGGTAGAACACCCCAGAGACCCCTCGTCCTTCACGTCCAGCGTCTGCTGGGCGGTCGTGTCCCGCTGCCGGCGTGTTTAATGAAACAGGCAGAGACTGACTGGTAGCAGGAGTAAACCAAGACAGGGTGAAGCTGATCTCAGAGCTAAAAAAAATGGAAGCTAAAGATTTTCAAAAGTATTTGCATTAGTGTGACTGGTGGAATCACAGCGTGACACGTGAGGTCTCAGTCACACAGTCAACAGTTTCAGTATGAAGTACCCCGAAGACTCGGATAGAGTGGGCTGGGTTACTTCACTCCTGTAGAAAATGTGACCTTTGTAAAGCCAAACCAAGGTGTCTAAGTAAAAGTTACAGGTTTTCATAGCTGGAAGTCCAGTGCTACCCACCAAACCAAGCAAGAGCTGCATTACCTTTAGAACTCTGGCTTCTTCTCCATATCCCTGGATTCGGCAGCACTCTGGACCCACACAGGTCCCTGGGCCACCCCTCTGCCTGGTGGGGCTGTGTGACCCCAGCAGGTCCCTGCCTGCTCAGCCAGCCCCACACTTCTCCCCTGCCCCGTGATGTGTGGACACCCATCACCACACAGGCCCCTGTTCTGAGGGTGAAGGTCACGTTAAGAACCACTCAATCCCTTGTATAACCACACAGAATATAGCAAATGGAGCATCACTGGGACTAATGTAACTGCTGAGTAAGCCAGGGCCTTACCCAGGACACACAGTTGCATCTTATTTGCTTAAAAGGCACATTAATGAACTAGGACCAGCCAGGAGGAGCAGGCGTTCACTGCACCAGAACCTGCCCAACTCGTATTTGGGATCCCCAGCATGCAAAACTCTGATCGTATCCAATTAAATGCAAACAAAATGCTATGGAAACATCTCGTTGCTTAAATTACCACAAGAAAGGATTTGATATTTTTTTAGTCATACTTGAATTCAGCGGGATGACTAAACAGAAGCCCAACACTTCTCTGTCTTTAGGCCTTATTCCACACATGCATCCTGCAAGTGCCTTCAGCTCCTGCTGACTAGAAAGAGCACCCGGCTCTTCAGAGCACAAAATCTTCCTGTGAAGAACCCAAAGAACATTTCACAGGTACAGAAGACAACACAGGGAAACTCTCACAATACATTCATAAACTGCCTACACAAAGAGACACAGAGCACAGTAGTAGCTTCCATCCAGTGCAAAAATCTGACAGAGCACGTTATTTTAAACCAGACCCTACAACAGATCCCTAGAAGCACATTAAAATAATCAAAGTTACTTTATTTATACTGTCTTGCATTAGATGATAAGCTTGGGAAGGATATTTAAAACAAGCAGAGGTATTGTACTATAGGTTACCGACTTGCACATGAAAAGGGGTTTTGTTCTTACCAATAAATTTCTGAGGCATTGAGCTTTTTCTCTTTGCCACGTTGCTCGCTAGCCTGTCCAGCACAAGGGCTCTCTCACTCCCCATCTCTGCCTTGATGTGCCTTGCCTCCACGCTCGCTAGTTTGGAAAATGTGAAGAGAAAAAGAAAAAGAAAAAACAAAACAAAAAAAAAACACGTAGGTGAAAAGGGAAAAAAAAAAAAAAAAAAAGAAAATTCAAAAGCAAGGAAGAGATGAATGGTTTTGCTCTCCGGAGTTTGCCACACTGCCTGGGAGGAAGCAGTTTGGAGACTGATGTAAACTGGTTTTGCCTTTTCTGCTGCTCTTGCTCTCTGCGCCTTGGGCAGCGGCTGCGGTCAGTGGAACCAAGCACAGCACAGCCCCTGGTCGTGCAGTCCCCAGCTCGTGCAAGGAGAGCACAGACTACGAACCCAGCACCTTCATGAGCAAGAGGAAGTGTGAAATCAACGGGCTGGAAGGTTGGTTACAGAACGTAGCTGGAGATACCACCTCTGGTAGCCTGGCTTTTTTCTTCTGAGTAAGACTGTGACACCTGCAGACTGACACAGTGCTTCAAAACATCACCGTAAGACAGTTTTTTAGGTATCAGTCATAGGTACATGTCTTTTGAACTAACCACTAAGAAACCTGCATGAAATCCATCAACGTTCCAGTAAAATCTAAACAACAGAACCTTTGCCTATTCACTTGAACTCATTTTTTTCCCAGGTGTCACCATCACACAGTTTTTCCTAAGTGCCAGAGCTAAAGCTAGTTCAGAAAGTTCCCTCTCAGCCTCAGGTGTTGTGGAGCTCATGGACACCCTCCAGCACACCTGACTTTGGGAAGAGTCCCTGTGCCCCACGGTGGCCCCAGTGAGCCAGGGCCACTGCCCCAGGGACCTGGCCACGCTCCTGGGGTCCCTCCGGCCACACTCCCGGGTCCCTCCAGCCACGCTGCCTGGTGCCTGGCACTTGGCCACAGCAGTGCTCAGCTCAGCTGGCCCAGGGAGCCCCCGTGGGCCCCGAGCCCCAGGGCTCTGCCACCTCATCTCACTGTCACCACACTAATACCGAGACAACCGCCGCGGCTGCCCCGGGGGCTCGCTCCTGCTCAGCAGCCAGCCCTGGCACCAGACCTGGCACGAAGGGCACCACTGCTGGCACGCTCAGACGTGGCACGAAGGGCTGCAGTGTGAGGGATCACTGTGTTCTGTGCCTTCTGGAGCTGGTGTCTAAGCAGAGGCAGATGGAGATGAGGCAGGGTCCATCCACCTCCCCAAGGGAACACCAGAGGCCAGATCCTGCTGTGAAAGGGCCTCAGCTGCTGTGTTACTGGCTCTGCTGCACCAGCAAACCTGAACAGATGAAGCATCATCTACACGAGGGAGAAGTAATGCCAGAGGAAACCAACAGAAGCACTTTGGTATCACTTCAGAGAATCACTATGGTAGGAAAGGACTTAAGTCCAACCATTATCTGTCTGTACCAGGCCACTTCTACACCATAGCCCTCAGCACCCCATCTAGATGGCTTTTAAATACATCCAGGGATGATGATTCAGACACTTCCCTGGGAAGCCTGTTCCAGTCCTTGATAACCCTTTTGGTGTAGAAGTTTTTCCTAATGTCTAACCTAAACCTCCCCTGGCCTCAGCCCTGCTAAATGCAGTTTTAAGGAAGCACTGGACTGAAATTGCAGTTTGCCAAGTACAGCAAGTGATAAAAATGCAACATCATCCTTCCATAGCGTTGTGTGCAGCACCTCCCTACCCATTTCAGAGTCAGCCACTCCTTACCTGTTTATTATTGCTGTTATTGATATCGTAGGAGTTTCAGTCAGCCCCAACCATGACTCACCAAACCTCAGCCAGAACTATTTGTTAATGTTTGTTCAGCATTTTGAACATGTGAAGTGCTTCCTAAGTACAGCAGCTGCCAGTGACTCAGGGCAGATGGGATAACAGGGCTCAGCTCAGCACTGCCCTTGGCCTGTCCCCCCCAGGCTGTGACCCCACAGCACACAGGACAACCAGACCCACCAGCACACCTACCCAGTAACACAGGGCTCTTCCAGGCTGATTTTTATTCCAAACTACTCTGGCATGTTTAGAAACTTCATAAATGTATTCATTCATCAGCTGCTAAACTGGACCCGCTTCCAGCATGAGGCACCAAGGTGCTGCCTCGTGGTTTACATCAAAAGGCAAATCATCAGTTTAAGATGAGAGTATAAGGGGAATTCAGGTCAGCAGAACATCATCATCCCTTTGGATTTGGGCCAGGAGCTCTAGTTATTTCTGGAGAATAATGGTGTGGGATTTGTAATTTCAGAACTGCCATTTAAGTCTCATGCTCCAAGAACTGGACTATGCTTTAGAGATTCAGACTGCCCTTAGATAACTGCAGATTGAGGTTTGAACTATGCCCAACAGAGAAAGCTTCTCACCTTGACAGGATCATTGCACAAATCGTTGATAAGAGTCATTTAAATTTTAAAAACAACCAACAACCCACAACTACCCTGATCAAGATCATACAGACAGTGCTGTATACATAAAAAAGAAACCAAACACAATTCATCCGTGTCATAAGAGCAGCTCCCTGGGCCTCACTCTTCATCTTTCTTACTTTGTTGTTCTAGTTCCTCTTTTTCTCCATCTTTACCTCCATGACTTGTACTCATGTTCTGTTAAAGCTTTAACTTCACACTTCCAGAATCTTTGTGTTCTGACAGATACAAAGGGTGAAGCTTCTGCAAGTCCCTCTCTGCCAGCCCTGGAAACACACCAGAAGCTGCATGTAGCACACCAGTGACTACTGGTCTTGTCAGAGTTATTTATGTGCCACCAAGGGAACTTTATTAAATTAGTGTCAAGAGGGCAGACGAGCAGCTTCCTGCAGAGGTAACAATCGTCTTTACTGAGACAGATTGCTGAAGAGACAGTAACTACTGACCTACATAGCATGTCCTGGGACATCTGTAGGTATCAATCTTCCTTGATTGATGTCTGTCTGCCATTTTATTTTAACGCTGAGGGTCTTTTCTTTCACATGAAGATTTTCTGCTCCTTGCTAAAGGCCATTTTTTTCCTAAAGAAAAACAAGTCTCTGTTTATGGGCCACAGAAGGTCTTTGACAATGTCTCTGGGACACAGCCTGAGGGAATTGTCTGCTCCCATTGAGACACAGGTGGTTACACGGGTTCCCTCCCACAGCGCTGCCCTCCCTACTCAAAAGCTAACTTAAGATTACCTCACCCACCTCTTTCTTCTGGAGGACTTATTAAACAGCCCAAAAATAATAATTAGTGTTTAGGAAACTTTTTTTTGAGTCAAAATTCTCTAAAGACTTCTCAAACAGAGAGAGCTAATCCTGCCCTGTCTCCCTCTTCAATTACTTCGCCCGCTGGGTGATTCCACTGCGCATTATGACATTAGTTTAAAGAACTAATTATCTAATTATAACATGGACCTAAAAATAAATTTCAGGCTGGACTGACAGAAATGATCAAGTGCTTTGCTCAGAGTTACACCGAGGAAAAACAAATGAAGAAAAATCCAGATTTCCAAAGCACTGGATCTGTTTCAGGCTGTGGTCTTGCAAGGTCCTGCAAGCTGAACACTTCTCATGGCTCAACTGCATGGCCAGAACATGACAAAAACCCTAAGGATGCTGGAAGCAGCTCTGCAGACCAAACAAATCACCCTCTTCAGTCTTGTTCAGATCAGATCAGTGCTCTCACACATGCCTCTGGATTTACAGGGAAAACCAAGCTTCCAACTTTTTCTTACATTATTTTACACAACAAGGATGGGGTTTAGCTCCCACGTCCTGACCACTTCTAAACCTGGGTCACCATCTGCTTAGCTAACCCTGGTGACCAATTACAGCTGTCCCTGATCCCCACCAGAGATGTCTCTGTGGAGCTGCTGAGCAGTGCTGGCAGCCTCAGCAATGTGCACATTTCAGGGGATCTTGTCTTTTCTTCCAGAAGAAAATTTTTGTGCAAAGGTGATTTATCTCCTCTGGATGACTACTTATGCTTTCTGGTAGCCACTGGGTGATGGGTGACCTCTCTGAATCATGCTGTCCCCTGCAGCCATGTCATTCTGGAGGTAGAGAACAGAGAGACTCTTCTTCCAGCCCAGAGCATGAAGACACCATGGTTCAGCCTGTGCTGAGCTGTTTCCATAGTGTGGTTTCTGCCACGCCGTAGATGTGAGTGTCATTTTTAGAACATGCAGGCATCGTTAACAAACCCTAAAGTACAAAGCAGAGCTCAAATTAGAGGCATTGCTTCCTGTAGCATCTCTGTGTGGTCAGCAAATAATGGAGAGTGGAACGGAGAGGTGGGTTATTGTGCAATGAGAACAATGTGACCAGAGATTGTTATCAGGGACCGAGCAACGCTCTAACAATACTGTTATATAAACCCTTTCTTTCAGAAGTATTTCCACACTGCTACATTTGGAACATCAAACCTCCTATTAAAGAGCATCTAGAATGGTTATTATGGTCCTGATGCTTTTCAAGATTTTAATTAATTATTGGCTGATGGCACTAGAGCATGTGTGTGCTTAAAGGTGGCTCCACATGAGAACGTTGAAAGGGCTTCAGAGAAGTACCAAGATTCAAAGTGATGCCAGGAGGAAAATGGTCAGAAATCAAAAAATGAACACTACAAAATGCACAAAATGCTAAACTTAGGGGAAAACCCAAATCGAATGCCCTAAATGGCCTCCTGAGGCCCTTCCCTCCCCCTGACTCTGTCACCAACACCGTGCTGACACCGGGGAATCGAATGGAAATGCCTCAACCACGGCTGGAGTTCCTGTTTTTCAGAAAACTTACTACTCCACTAAAACCACTGCAGTGTGTTTTGAAAGGTCTGAAAGGCAGAGGAGGGTACAGCCCCATCAGGTCGTACAGGAAACCTGTGTTCCTTCTGCCTGATTTCAGGTGTACTGTCCCACTGCAGGGACAACCACAGAGCAGATCTGGGATAAGGGAAATGTTGCTATTCTGAAATGAATATAAAGCTTGAGAATCATTTAAGAGCAGTAATCTGTAGCAGGTATGATGTTTTCCACTCTCACGTGGCGGACATCTCGGAGTGATTGCCATCACAGGAGCATGTACTGTAAGGTAAAACCACAGGCACACCATGGATGGCTTCTCATGAAAACCAAAACTTGCTGACACTCTGGTAACCATTTGTTTCACTAATGCTGTAAAGAATCTCATTTGCTGCCAAGGAGAAACTATAACACTACCTTTGTTAGATCATCATTTCATTATAGGTGTTTTTGTGTGTGCATGTGCTGATACACCAACCTGCTGGCTCTGCACAGGGCAAAGACTTTGCACCCACACAGTCCCTGTCACATACCAACAGGTCTTCACACTGGTTGTCAGACCCAGCTTGTGAAAATCTCTGCAGAATAATCATATCAGCAAATACAATTATTTTTATTATTAAGGAGCCTTGTTTAACTCATCTCTCTAAGGATTAATTTTCCTCCAGTTTCCAGTTTAGCCTTTTCCTTGGAAAGAAAATTCTATTTGAAATTCACAGTCAAAACAAGGAAGCTCAAGTCCTCAAAGTTGTTTTTTGATTTTTTTTAAGACTTCCTAGGAAGACAATGGGAACCTGAATTCTCAAATTGTATCCTCAGCCCTGCTACGGATCAGTCGTATCAACTTTTGGGAGGTCACAAGCAGTCTGATTCCAAATGGGAACAGTAATTCCTTCCTGACTTACTGGTGTATTGTGGGACTGAAATCACACAAGTTCATTTTAGGGTTTGAAATATTCAAGCTAAGCAAGCTCAGAGACTATGGCAGTTATTTGTCACCGGAGTATTTTCGGAACTGCAGCACTGAGACTGTGAAAAGGAAAACATGAAAAACTGTTTTGACACATTTCACCTCCAGCCTTTCTCAAAGGCAGCTCTACCCTCAGAGACACCCCTTGCATCTCACTATCTCCTCAACTGATCTGTTGGTCACCTCTGGGACACCACCCCATTCAACTGCCCAGCATCCACACCAATTTCTGTGAATTCTAACCAATTCAGTTCTTATTCTAAAGAAAAGGGGGCATCAAATGGACTGAGACATGAACAACTGCTGCCAACAACCATGGGCATCCACTCACCCAATAAAACGAGCCACACAGCACCATTAACATAGGAATAGTTTAACTGAGAGTGTCACCTACAGAAATGCTGTGTACAATGCATTTTAGACCTGTTACTCAAAGAACTGCAAAATAAAGTGATTTTAAAAAAGCATTCTTAACTGGTTGCCTGAGGGGTGCGCTCAACCAGACCTTTTTCTAAGAAGTTACAGCCCCTTCAGCTTCAGACTGCAGTGAAAACTGCTCCCAGGCTGTGAATTAGCAGCTTACCAGATGCCCTCTAACACCAAAGGCCCAAGCCCCCGGGGGTGTGACACTCACCAGGCTCACACACGCCAGCGTTCTGCAAGTAAGTGCGGCACCGCTCCTTGTGCTCCTCCAACGAGCTCCTCTGCTTGTAGCTCCTTCCACAAAACTCACACTTGTATGGCTTCTCCACTGGAAAAAGAAGAGTGCAGTCTGAGGTAACCAAAGGGGACTACTGAAACGCTGCCCCCCTCACAGTGGAGTGCAGAGTTACCAACAGCACACATCCAGCTCACGGGGATGCACTCAGCTCCTCTAGAGTGCTGTACCCACTGCAAGAGTTACAGAGGGTGAAACCCAGTGGGCACAGAGCTCCTGCTCACCCCCCTGGCTCAGGAAAGAAGAGCAGGGTTTACAACTGGATGCTGTTCCCAGGAGCTCAGGTTCCTACAACCCTGCTCTAGCTGATGACTTCCCTTGGAGTGACTTCCCTAGGGAACACCAACCCTGCTGCTGCTAAACCAGGACTGCAGCTGCCCTTGCTGCCTGACCTGGTCCTGTCTGCACACAGCTGTTCAAGGATTCCATGAAAGTCATCAAGTTAACCCAAACCGAGACCATATGTGAGGTTCATTTCATTTCCAAGGGTGTTTATTGTAAAGCAAATTATGTTCCTAATTCATTTAGGCTAAAACAAAGTGGTTTGTAACTCAAGATAGCCACACAGCCTTTCCCAGTTCCCCATACACAAGGGCTGGGAACACTCACTGAGTTATCTCACCAGTGGTTTGTGAGCAGACATCCTCTGACTCCCAGGCACACCATCCCTGTACAGCACAAATGCAACTAGCCTTGCACTGCATACTGTGCAAAAGGACCAAGCCCTCTGCTGCTAATGGGATTATTCACTGATTTATGGGAGTCAGATTTTTTTTAATGTTGTTTAATACTCCAGCACTTAGAAACTTCAGTCACAATAACCACATGATGGGTTTGAAGCATGAGGTTTTTGGCATTGTGCTGGTGGGGGACAGTCACCACCACTGTGCTGGGTCTCCATTAAATCAGAATCTCATTTATCCATGTCAGATAAGCTCATTTTTAACTTTGATTCTTTGTGAGGTTCGATTTATTTTTTAGGGTAAAGTGCAGTGCAGAGATAACATCTGTCATTTAAGAATAAATGGGTTTTTTTCTGTTCCCCTGTATAATACAGGATATAGACAAAGCACAGAGTAAGCACACCCTGGCTCCTGCAGAACTGGGGCAAGGAAGATGGATCAGTTTATACCTGCCTTGCTGTTCAAGTCACCTCAGCTCTGTGCCTCCACTTCCCCATCTGTAAAGTGGCCAGAAAACCCACCCCTGGTCTGGAGGGAAGCCAGTGGTGTTTGTGGAGCACGTTAAGACATTCAGATGAAAGGCACTATGTGACAGCAAGGTGTCCACTGCCAGGAGTCAGGCTGTCCTGCATCATGCTCCTGGAGCTCAGGACAGGGACAGAAGGAAGTCCTGGCAGAGGACATCTTCATGCTACTCTGGAAATCCAGAGCCTGCTGGCACAGCCAGCTCCACTTGTTTGAAAATATCACAGAGTTTAAGTTTTGTGCAAGCAGGTACAGAGGCCATTCCTCACAGCACACAGCTGAGACAGTAGGAATCCCTGTGCCCTCTCTGTGAGGCCAGGCTGAGAGAGGTGGGGTGGCTCAGCCTGGAGAAAAGGCAGCTCCAGGGAGACTTTACTGCAGCCTTCCAGTACTTAAAGGGGCTCTGTAAGAAAGCTGGGGACAGACTTTTTAGTAGGGCCTGTTGTGACAAGACAAGGTGTGATGGTTTTAAACTAAAAGAGGGAGATTTCAAACAGGGAGAAGATGAAATTTCTGATGCTGAGGGTGTTGAGCCCCTGGCCCAGGCTGCCCAGAGAGGTGGTTGATGCCCCACCCCTGGAACCATCCCAGGTGAGGTTGGCTGGGGGTCTGGACAACCTGCTATAGTCCCGACTCAGTGCAGGGGGGTTGGACTCGATGAGCTTTAAAGGTACCTTCCAACCCAAATCCTAGAATCACAGACTGGGTAAGGGCAGAGCCAAGTCCCAAGACAGTTTCAGCAGGCAGAACGAGTGGTCACTGCCAGTCATCAGCTCTTCAGAACCAGACTGGCTGAGGAAACTCTGCTGACTGACTCTTTTCCACACCTCGTGTCCTAGTGACACACATCTAAAACACATGAAGTGTCTCTGAAGTCACTTACCAGAATGTGTCCTTAAGTGCCCTGTTAGCGCATCCCTCCTCTGGCAGGCATAGCTGCAAAGATGACATTTAAAAGGTTTTTCCCCTGTGTGTAGTTTAATGTGGCGGAGGAGGTTTCCCTTCTGAGTAAAGGAAGCTCCGCACTGATTACACTGGAATGGCCGTTCACCTTAAAATGACATACAGAAAAGGACATTTAATGGTTACGTGGGTATCATGCTGTCCTCACACCCTCTCCTTTTTGGAGGAGGAGGAAAGAATGAGATGCTGGATCCATTTCTTTCTCCAGAAGCACACGCAGCCCTTCCGCTGCCCGCCCTGGGGGTTACACGGCTCTGCTGTCAGAGCTGCTGCTACAGACACACAACTATGGAAAATGCTGCACAGTTTTTCCATGAAAACAAGTGTTCTGGAGGAGGCTGATTCCAAAAAGCTAGCAAATTTTAGAAAAAAAATAAAAAGTCTTATCTCAGTGCAGGTTGAAACCCAAGATGCTCGTTGGTCTATTGCCAAAGTACAGCACAGAGAGAAATGCACACACTGGCTGAAATGGCAGCACCAAAACCAATCTAACTTGTGTTTTGTGGCTGAAACACTCCAATGACATAGTGCCTTTCATCCAAACTTTACAGAACGCCTCACAAACATGCCTTTACCAACATTCAATCCTGGTAAGAAGCAAGGTGGGTAAAGTGAGGCACAGAAAAGTGAGGAACTTGCTGGAGATCACATGTGGCTTCAAGGACAGAACACGGAAATGCTGATTTTGGTATCCTTGTTTAAAATAAGTAGTCTAAGATCACAAATCATTATCCTTTCAGTATTCAGCTCTTAGAATAAGAACGTAGGGATATTTACCCGTGTGGCTACGCTTATGAACCATCAAGACATTGAGGCTAATGCAGGCTAATCCACAGATATCACAATTCATTTTTCCACTAGCTGGCCTGACGTTGTCATAGGAGCCAGAATGTCTTTCCAGTTTAATGCTGTCATAGTCAGTATATTCTCTGGGATAGGTGTAAGGCACGTCAGATTCTTCCGGGGTTTCCATAGGCTCTGAATTTAAAGCACTCTCCTCTCTTTCACTGTATTCACCTTTCACTTTAACCATATCATCTGCAGGTAAAACAAAGCACAAAAGTGAAAAAAATGCTCAGTGAAGTTTCTCAGAAAAACAACTCACCAAAAATGACATAGAATTACATTATCAGTCTTCCTGAAAGCTTGAATTAAACACCCAAAGATGAAGAAACACAGTTGAGATGGGAATCTTGGTGGGTCATATACATTTAATGATGCTCAGTGAGGTAACTTCAAAATATTGACCTGCCTGTTAATTACTGTGAATAATTTCCTCCTACAGATTATACAAGTATAACACAGCACAAACTTCTCCTGCAATTACAGGGCACTATTCAGGACTCCAATGAAATACTTACTCCCACAAACTAATTAGCCACAGAAATTAGTGTCTCAGGCTCTTCCTGTGAACTGGAAATACAGTAAGACACACAGAAAAAAGGACATTTCTATCTTCCTGCAGAACCTCTGGTGCTTGATACGTGCCTAAGAAATGTGTCTGATCTGGTGTAAGACTTCCCATGCTGCTCCCACAAGGTAGATTCTCATCAGTTAATGCTAATCAATAATCCTGATTTTCACTTGCAACTTGCAATTTTTATCCAAAGACCTCAAGTGTGTGAGAAGCATCCAATAATGGTGATATACATCAACCTACTGTGTGAGCAGAACTAGCAGAGGAAGGGGAAAGATTTCCTGCATGCTGGAAAAGAGACAAGATTTGTCCAAAGTCACATTGAGAGCATGTGGCAAAGAACCCAAAGACCCCCCAGGATCAGTCCCCAGCACTTGTGAACAGGTTCCCAGACCCAAGGCCATGTTCAGAGACAGAGACTGCCCCTGGATGCAATTCCATGACAAGAGGAGACAGTAACAAGCAGCTAATAACTTACTAACAATAATGCTCCCATGTAAAAACACAAGCAATTCAGTCACACTCTATAAAGAGCTGATGAGTCCAAACTTATGCTGCTGAATTTCCTTTCCCCTGTTAACTCCAGTGTTCCTAGCACTTGCATTAAAATCCTTACAAATTGGCAGGGCAGCTTTTTTTTCTGCTTGCAGCTGCCTTTTCCACCTAGACCTGAGCTAGGCTATGGCTGAAACTGGAGTGATGCCTCAAGCTACCCAGTGAAGAAAAGCACCAAGAGACAAAATACAGTTTCCTGTTTGAAAGTAGAGTTCTCCTGGCCACCTGCTCCTCTCTCAAAGCCAGGGTTAGTCAGTCAAATGTGGCACTTGATCACTTGTCCTTTCTCCAAAGTACCAAACGTGGACTGCTGAACGTGTATTAGCTCTGGTTCTGAGTAACAAACCACATCAAATGCTGAGAACAAACACTGGGTGACAGCACAAATGAGGTGGCAACATAAAAGCAGCACTGAAAAATAAAGAGCTGGCAACCAATATTTTCATGCAGTCAACATTTTCAACTATATTTTAGTGATAAAAATCACTCCTCTATCCTAAAAGCTTGCTCTAAGCCCAGCCAATCTGATTTTGGGTTGAAGAGAGGTGGAAGAAACAGGTGGGTGATAAAATTCTTCATCCCCTGCAAGAATCCATGGCAGTGTGGAAAGCTCTGGGATTCCTCCTGTGCTCACCTTGGGTGATGACACCCAGAGGGATGGCTTTTCCTCCACATCATGTGCTTTTATCCCCCTATCCCAGATGTTATTCAAGTCTGGTATTGGGGCTGAGTGCCCTGGCCCCAGGAGAGCTCACACAAGTTTGGGTGTTGGCTCAGAGGTCTGGATTCACCCACCAATGGGCCGTTTTCCTCCAAGCCATCTTCAGTACCAGCTCTGCCTCATATCCTGAGAGCTCCTACTGCCGCTGAAAGAGCCTTCCCTGCAGGTACCTTCTGCTGCCAACAGCACATCTGAGGGTGATCCTGCCCTCAAGAGGCCTTCAAAATTAGTTTATTCCTCCATTTCCATCACTCCAAGGAAGAATTATTGCCAGTTGCTGAAAGCACCTTTCAACAGAATGTCATTTCCAAAGGGAATAAAATAAAAGGTTTGGTAGGTTGGTTGATTTGGGTTTTTTTTTTCCCTTTCAAGAGGAGGCTGTTCCAAAATAATCTGCTACATCCTGCTCAGCATGGTAAAAGGAAGCACATGCTGCAGCTGCACCTTGTTGGTAGTTTCAGAAACAATTTCAATTCCCACTTTCTACTCAACGTCTCACCTTTTGTCCGCATCAGACGCGCCTACCGGGCAGTGGAGGACGAGTGGCAACCTCCAACTGAGACTGGCAACCTCCAACTGAGACTGGCAACCTCCAACTGAGACAGCTTCTCTGCTGTTTTCTGCTGTTTCTCACCCCAACCTCACAGCTCGCAGCTCTTCTCTCTTTTACGGAGCTCTGCCAGCGTTTGTGCAGCGCGGTGTGAACCTGCCCCAGCTCCCCATGCCAAGCACTCGCTGACTGGCACGAGCTGGGTGAGCCATCCCATGGCTCCACCGTGGAAAACGAGCACCTCTGCATTTCTCACATGCATGCTGACTGCTTGGTTTCTTACAGGAACAGAGGAGGATGCACCTGAGTTCTGGCCCAGGCTCTTCCACCACTGCGTCCCCCTAGACACCACCAGCACTCCAGCTGCCCAGCACATCCCACCAAAGCTTTGCAGTTTGCATTGAATCCACCTTCTGAGGCCTGGCAACAGCAGAGGTCACTAGGGAAGAGACTTTTTTTAAACAAATAAAAAGAGGGCTTGAAGTTTTTCTGTCCTAACACACCACTTATTGCTGAGAATCTACGCTGCCTTCCTGAGAGCGATACAGGAGGAAGCTTTGGCACAAAGCAGTCTGAAGAGAAGATGGCTTGGGACTGGTTAATCTAAAATTAAACCAGTGGTTGCAGAGGTCTGAAGCAACCAGGTCCCTTTTTCAGCCCTGACACTTGCTCTGTGTGCTGGCAGGCACAGGGAACATCACGACTCTGGCAGCTGTGTGGAAAGGTTTCCATTGGTCACTTAAAAATCACACCAACATGTTTTAATGAGCTGAGGGAGTTTCCAGGCTGGCCTGCCTTAACCAAGAGGAAGGTAGCTGCAAGTTTAAGCAGAAAAGGGAAATTTAAGTGAGGAAAAACACAATTATTCCTAACAGCACTAACAAAGTTCCCCAGCTGAAAAAAAAAAAGAAGTGCTGTCATCTCTTCTGTGCTTAGAAAAGTGAAGAGGTTGTACAAGGAAAGTCCAACTGTGGTGTCCAGCCCAGGTAACTATTTTTCTTGAGCAAGTTCATGAAGGTAATACATGCTGCAGAACAAAACGTGGTAGGTTTTACACAACAAAGTACCAGCTTGATGCGTTAAGGCTGATGCACAGGGTTTCATTTCCTGGGGAGATGATTACAAGATGAAAGACATACTCCAGAGTAATATTTTTGTTTCACCTGAAACACTGTAAAAACAATGGGTTCTGGAAAAACTCCAAAATAAGGCTGTGGTGGCAACTTCAGACTGAGTCACCACATGAACACTGCTTGTGTACGTTCTGTAAGATGCACAAATTAAAAAAGAAGTCAACAGCAGCAGACAATTAGGACAAGCTGGAGCGTTGTTGTCTTAGCTATTTGCTCTAGGAGAGAGTCTTGTAAGGAAAACCTTCCAATTAGTATATTTAATCCAGGACCTTGGCATCAGATATAGGAGAGGTAAGTTTTGTACTGTTGTTAAGCAAAGTTTACCAGCAGCGTTATGAAAAGCACAGAGAATAAAACCCAGAAGCTATTAAAGGCAACGGCACAAAAGGGGGATGTTGCTCAAGTGTTTTACAAGGAGCAGGGTCATAATCGTGAAATCCTCAGCACATGCAAAAAGTCAACTGGATAACAAAGAAACTTAATCATCTTAATGTGGCATTTTAATGACGCTGCTGATTTGCTACGCCAATTCCGAGATAATGAGCCCCTAATGCTACAGATGTTCAGCCAGACTAAAGGAAAAAAAAGAAAGAAAGAAAAGCTTTTCTTGTATGCCATTTCCTAACTATCCAATTAAACAAATTGTGAAAGCATATAAATAGTTTACCAGGTTTTGACAGCTGTTAATAGGATTCAGACTCCAAAGAACAAGAAGGGAGTCTATACGTGTGCCAATCGAAGGGTTTTCATGACTACCTGGATCTGACAGGTATTAACTGATGATTTATCAGTTATCTCCACAAACTGTCCCCAGGAACAGCAGCTGAAAACCCAAACCTAGTGCACACACACTCGACTGGCCCCCTCCCAGAACAGGAGATTCCTTTACCTGAACTGGCTGACGTGGTGAAACTGCCAAAGTCGGCGGAGTTTCCAAATTAAAGTCACAATCCTGCATGTTTATGAAAAACACCTCTAGAGTGGAATTAATGTGCTGTGGGGGAAGATGTGTCATGAGTTAAACACACTTATTCCTTAATGGAAAGGGAGGTTTGCAGCACAGCCCATCCAAATTAGAAACAGGGAAAAAAAAACCTCCAATCAATGCTGCACCTAAGTCTTTCTCCTTAAATAACAACAAGAAAACAACTGGCATACATGTCAAAACATGACATATATACAGATAGGGAAAATTTGGAGACTGGGGAATGATAAAAAGGGAAGTGACACGACAGCAACATGAGATTGTTTTCTCTTTTAACAGAGGAACACATCTGGAGATCAGGGAACTTGGTGTCTGTCTCCTACACCACTGCAGGTACCAGTCCAGGGGAAGGAGCTCAGGCTCCTCTGGCCCAGCCTGCCTTTGTTTCTTGCAGTGCCAGGCTCCCTGTTCTACACAGCAGCAATGCTGCTCCTGACAAAGGGTTGTCCAGACACCATGCAAAGCCTCCTCGAGGTGGCAATCCCTGGCTGAACCAGGGCAGTGTGCACCTGGGGGAAATTTCACTGCTAGAACTAGGGGAGAAACTCTCCCGACTCCCCTCTGCGGCGGGCAGGCTCCGTGGGCATCAGTTCCCTTGGGTTTATTGTGACTTGAAACAAAAATAGAAACAAATGGCATTGAAATGCAGCACTGAGAATTGGGATGGAAAAACACCC